ATGAATCGAACTTGGAGGTAGGGTTGTGAACCAAGTGAAAGCGTTTTTTGTAAGAGAACTTGGAAAATACTTGACCCTAAGATTCTCATCATTTGAAATGTCTCCTACTTCTATCAAATACCTAGTCACATGTTCGACAGTAGACTTAGTAGTATCCCCAGGAAACTTAGTGAACTTAGGAACCTTTGTTCTTGGGGGTAAATCTGATTGGAGGATATACTCTGATAGCAGTGATGCATAATTTGGACGTCGAAGGCCAAAATTTACTCTGTTACGTGCCATGATCCTTTCGACCATGGCAGCCAAATTATTGTTTGCTGCTAGGTTGTTACGTCGAACTTGTTGTACAACGTTTTCAGCATCCTGGTTCCTATTTACTAAAACTATCCTTGGTTCTTCTTCTCTAGGAACTTGTGGTTGGTTCCTAGGGGATTCGACTCTAGGCCGTTCGATCATTCCTTGGTTGTTTTGATTTTCCTGGGACGGATTTTGTGGAATTTTATTAATGGTGTTGTCTTCGTCGAAGACTACCCCTCGGTTTTCTATCATATACTCCCTCGGCGATTGTCGAGGGGGATTTGGTACACCCAAGAATTCTACAAGATGTGTCATTTGCGATGCTAATTGTTGATTAGTTTGGGTAGTATTCTGAATAAGGAGCTGAAAAATTTCCCCCATAGTTTGAGACATCATTTGAACCATTTGATGGTTACTTTCGTTCATTTGTTGTCTCAAGTAAGATGCAGAACTGTCTGTCAAACTTGGCATCTGGGCTGAATACCCTAATTCCTAAATTTTGACTATTTTGACCCATATTTACCCCAGAGCCAGATCCCTATAATGGCGAAGTCATTACAGGTTTTGTATATAATGGAGAGGCATTTTGTAAGTTTTCCATCATCGAAGTTGGCATTCCATAGGGTGGGTCTCGAGGCAAAGGCATTGAAAACCCAGGGGGGGATGCCTCTGAATGTGGAAGCCCCTATCGGTGGTGGGGTCTGTGGAGGACCCTTTGGCCCAATATAAGTTAGAATAGGTTGTATATGGGAAATTGAATGTGTGGGTATCGAACTTCCCATATATGGTATTGCTTCAGAGACAGGCGCTGAGACTTTTGGTCCTCCTGTCGAAGATCCTATGGGTTGTTCTATATTGTTATTCGGGATATCCTGAGGAATATTTAACTGGTTTGAATTTGTCGTCATTCTCCTCCTATATCTCTTTCTTTTCTATCTTCGTTAACAGTGGCTACCTTACCACTTCTTAATAACATGCAACGAAGTTTTTTGAAGAAAAAAGTTGACCACATAACTAATAAATTTTTTCCAAAAAGAAGTTAGAAATAATTTTTATGATCACTTAGCACTGTCCCACTGGACGTGCCAATTTGTTCGTCGTGAAAATTGGTGAACAACTGCTGGTCTTACAAATCAAAAAAATATTTGTTTTACTTGCAGGATCGACCACACAAATCATAGGACATGTGCTAATTGATCTTAAATAAAATTTATAAAAACTAAGAACACTTTGACAGAGTTCATGGTAAAGCAACTTATCTCAAATGTAAATGAATTTAGGTGACAATAAGTAAAATCGAAGTACTGGTAAATGATGAAGATAAGAACTTGCATAAAGAAAGAATAAATGCTTAAAGAAAGAGATTTATTAAATTGTATTGAAATGAAAAACTGGTGTTACATCAACGTACATTCTTACAAACTCGTTTCTCTTAACACACGGGTAATTGGAGTATACCAAAGAATTTGTACACAATTGAATACACCCAAATCCCAACACTAAGACCTACTATTTATAATAATCAAAAATAATTGTCATTAACAGCTAGCAAACAAAATCGAGACAAGTGTCGATATGCATGTCTTCGAATCCTAGAAGCGTTCCACGTGTCTCCTTTAAGGAATAGATGAAAACGTATTTTTTCTCTTTTATTTGAATTCAAATGAACTCTTCGAAATACCCTTAGTGACACCTCTGTCGAATCAAATCTTCCAACTGTTGAGAAATATCTCTAAGTCCGTAACATAGATTCTCCTGGCGAAAGGACGCCTTCGACTTCCATTTCAAAATATGGCTTCAGTCGAAATAATTAAATTTCTTCAGGAGCTCTATTTCTTACTTTTAATTCCATTCAAACACCGAAATTAAGATCCAACAGTTAGGTATTCAATATTCATCCGCATACTCTGTATTTGCCCTCTTTTCTCCCGATCGTTACTTTAGCATCGATGTGCCTTGCAAGTACACCTCCCTCCTCATTTCTCACCCAGCATCACAGACGTTGTCTCTGACCCACTTCAGATTCTAATCAGCCCCTAAAATGATCAAATGTTATTTTAAACTTAGTTTTCGAGACCTAATTTTATAAATTTACATGTCTATCTTCTCAACAAAAAAAAATTTTACATTCTACGTAATTCAAAAACATACTTTATGCGTTGTTTTATCCTTGTAATTTCAAAAAATTTGTTTAAGAATATGCATAATCACATTAGTCAAAGAATTTATGAGAAACAAATTTATACCAACTTAGTAGTTTAATATATTAAACATTAGTCGTTTTACTTAAATTACATGACCATACATATAAAAAATCTAATAGTTCTATAAAAGATATTCTCATTATTAATAACATTATGAAAGAAAGGTTCATTATTAATAAAGCTATGTTATACATTTCCACAAGACAGCTTAAAAAATAATATATATATATATATATATATATATATATATATATATATATATATATATATATATATATATATATATATATATATATATATATATATATATATATATATATATATATATATATATATATACTTGATTGAGACAACTCAATTTTTTTTATTTAATTTATTTTTTTATTAAAATAGACATGTCCTACGGATCGATACTACTTTATATATATATATATATATATATATATATATATATATATATATATATATATATATATATATATATATATATATATATATATATATATATATATATATATATATATATATATATATATATATATATATATATATATATATATATATATATATATATATATATATATATATATATATTACAATATTATATTTATTTTTTATTTATATTGACATTAGATGATCTATGCAAACGTACAGTTAAATGACTATTTAATTATTTTATTTTGTTTACTATTAAAATATATATTTTTGATAAGTCGAAACTATGTAATTTTTATATCATTTATATATATATATATATTTTAACTATTATTATACTATATTTATTGACTATTTATAAAAATATTGCGTAACCCATATCCACGCAGAGGTAAATAACTACTTAAATATTTTATTTATTTTTTCTATTAAAATATACATTTTTAACATAGGTCTCTTACTAATTTTTTATAAAGAAATTATAAATGATCCAGAAATTGAAAAAAAAAATCCCTAACAATTATGAGTAAATTGTTTGCTCTTACTCAAGAACCATGCTCATCAAACTAAAAGATGACAATAAAGTTTAGTTCACACCGAAATGTGGATCCAGAGAAATTTTTACATATAAATGTATTTATATTCATTCATATTATTATAACAAACAAGTTGTTATTTTAAATCAAAATTTTCAATTTATTTTCAGAAAAATTAATTAGACAAAAATATATGTTTAATCTATTAATAAAAAAATTATGATTGATTGGTTGAAAAAGTTAAGTTTTATATTAATTTTTTAGGAGAAGTTTGTGTGGTTTCATGAGTGTAAAATATAGAGAAATGCTATCAACACACACTTAGATATACTCTTTTAAACACATCCACTTACATGATGACACTTTATTTGTCTATTTCTACCCTTCACTCGGTGACCGGTTCTTTACCTTTGGCACTTCAGCGGTTGTCTTCTACTTAACTGAGAGCGTGTCAATTATTATTTCTCTACAAAAACACTCATCTGAAGCATAATTCCTCTACAACTAGACAGAAATTTTTATGAATAGTTGGAAATGTGCCAACCAATCTAAAAGGCACACCCACTTAGTTGTGTGTTTGTCTCTTCTTCACATTTTCATATTTCAAAACCAAATTAAATCATATCTAAATCACAAATTAACTACTCCATTTTATACGTCAATCTCCACAATCTTTTCTCACAATTTTCTTCAACTCAATCATTAAATTTTAATTTTCAACTTCTATCACTTTCAGTTACTTTGCAGTTAAACGATTAAAGAATTCATATCTAGGTATCATTGTTTACATGTGTGTTTTTGTAAAGTCTCATTTCTTATGGATTCTTTGGAAGCATTAATGACTGCTAAAAGTATTTTATAAGATGACCGTAAGAGCTTACAAAAGATGACCATAAGAGCCTGTGACAAACACAATGGTAGCTATTAGTGTGAGATGGATTGAAACTTGAAAGTAGCCATTGAGGTTGTGGAGAGAGATTCTGATGCAGGTTTTTTTATGTTAAAATTGGTCATAAAAAGTATTTATCATCCTGTTTAACCGGTTATTAAGTAAAGGGAAGAGCTTCAGTACCGTAGCAATAACTTTGTAACTTTAGTTAATAAAATGAATGAATAAATTACTAATGTATATTATATTGATGTAAGAGGATAATTTTTTCTCTGAAGTTACCAAAGTCACCAAACCTTGTCCGAAATATATATGCATGGAGATGGCATCGACAAGGGAATTCATGTCATTTCTTCCCATTTTTGTCTTTCAAATACGAGATGGCTAGCATATTAAAGCCAAAGTGTATTAAAAAATAAACAAAATTTCAAACCCCACTAACAAACCTAACAGACTTGTCATTAACCATTTATCATGTTTCTCCAAGCTACAACAGAACCTATGTTTTCTTTCCCATCCAACAAAACATTCATCCCAGTCAATTCCAATATCAGACATCTTTAGGTGCTGAAACGTGGATATCAATATAAATAAGAGGAAAATTTCACAGCATGCTTCTTGTTCAATGCTCATATATCTCTAGATGAGAGTAAGCTGAAGTTTTGGCCGGTTAGGCTGAGGTTCCACAACCTCCATGTGAATTTGTACTGTCTGCAAAATGCTGTATGAAATGCTACCATCCATCTTTTTAATCTTTTGCTCTTGTTCATCTACGTACCATTCTCCACTACCCTTTTCAGCTCTTGTTGTCAAATATACAGGACCTTCAATACCGTATCTGTCAAGAGAGAAAAATACCATACAAACCTTAAATGAAAAACTCACTGAAAGCATAAAGACGCATAATAGGTGCTTCAATGCTTACAACATCTATTGAAATAAAGCAAAACATTCTCTTATTGTTATCATCGCCATTTCATGGTACAACATAGAAAAATACAAAAATATAGAAATGAGGGGAAAGATATTTTACTTGGGGACAAACACAAAAAACCCATTAGATCTTATCTTTACTATCCTAGCCTCCGTATCTGTTGGCCTGCATGAAGAAAGACAAATGAACTCCATAATAAGCTGCAAAGTGCAAAAAGATAACAATAATAGTAACAGAGTGGAGAAGCTGCCACGTACCTCTTCCGGAAATAAATGAGAGTATGCAGCTCTACAGATGCCCGCCCTGCCATCTGAGCATTCCTGTGCCTATAATTTAAATCTATGCCAGATACAAATAAAACATCATTACTGAGATTTTTTAAATGTCACCAAAAGAACAAAACTGGTAAAGAAAATTTTACTATTTGATTTATTTGTGACAAATATAGTTCTGTCCTAGAGAAAACTTCCACTAAGGCTGGATAAAAACGTAAATGATCACATTTTATTAAATCATGAAAGAGATTTCTTACTGTCTGCAGTACTAGTGAGCTGCAGCCTGTCTTGAAATACAGATGGCAACTTGGATATTCCTATAGAAGCAGCAAGTAGCCTGTGTACAATGACATCTGCAAAATAAAAAAATAAAAAGCATTTCATCTGTGTTACTGTGCACATTTGATCAGGTAAACATATTAACATAATGAAAATATACCTACCTGCATATCTTCTTATAGGTGATGTGAAATGGGTATATAAAGGTGTTGCAAGCCCATAATGATGATATTCTGGAGGGCTGAGATCCCCACTACAGAAATAAACTGCCTATGAAACAAGACAAAATCAATTTTCTCTTGTAAATGTGAAAAACAAATGAAAGTGTCCCGAGTTCCAGACAGATTTCTTTCAAATTCATTAAAATTTCATGGGTTCTCATTTATTTTCAAATTACCTGACTCATGCATCTAGTGGCAAGAATACGGATCAACTTGTTGAAGTATGGATCACCACCCTGAAAAGGTACTCCGCATGAGAGGGAGAAATAATTGAGACCATGTAATACTCTCAAAAAATAAATACTTGAGCTAGCAACGTGTAAGCCATAAAAAGTATATCATCAAAGATTCTGAGGCCAAATCATAGCATTATTACAGAAAAAAAATTATACAAGAACCATATATGATGTTCTGTTACTAGAAAACGAAAATGATGTGAAAATGAAAAATACAAATAAAAATATATACCACAGCAAGGTCAAGAGAATCAGCCAATGCTTTTGATGATGAGACATCCAAGTTCAGGCCAATTGCAGCAGAAACACGTAGCAAGGGTTCAAGCATCTCTTTAGTTGGAGTCGGATGTCGCCTACACAAGAACCAAAAAACAATTACTAGGACAGCAAGTACACACAGTTTTGTCAGATGCAAATGTTTTATTAGTTTCTATCATGTACATTTAATGCCTCTAATCAATGGTATGGGGTGCTTGGAAAGGAGATGATTCACAAAGAAACATTTCATTGATTAGATACAGTACTCACACAAAAACATAGATAATTAATATTTAGACCTGATGATTTCAGGATTTCAGTTTATTTTAGGATGCTATTCAAATCTTAGTTCTAGTTTTAAATTTAATTATGATTTATTCAATATAATTTGATTAGCATTGCGTTACAGTATACTGTAAGAGTTATAAATAGCTCTTCAGGCATTTTATGTTGGTTTCAGTTAAAAGTGTGAGAGTGCACAGTCTCATGAATTCTCTGTCACCTATTTTCGGCTTCATTTGTTTATCTATCATATTAAATCCACCACACAGTTGGGGATGGGGATGGCGCCCAAGATTATGGAAGCACAAACAAGGCAATCAAAGGGAGTTGAGATCTCAGTGAGAGAATGATTACTGCAACAGATAGCGAGTCAACCAATGGTTGTTTGGGAGGGAAAGTTTAACCCGTACATATATAAAAAAGGAAAGAATGAAGGAGTATAAAAGAATGAAGGAGATGCAGGGTCTCTTGAATACCGCGTGCTACCCAATATATTTTCTGTTTCACTTCATCATCCTTTGTAAATCCACCACACAAATACTGAATTTAGTATCCACAGAAAAATAAAATAGTACATTCACCATAACAATATGGACATGGCACCCGAAAAAGAAGAGTTCAGACGCTTAAATCTTGAATTACTGATTAGGATCGTTTCATTTTCTTAAATTTAAGTCAAGTAGGATCCTTTATCTTGAATTGGAATTACATATAGTGTAGAGTTTAAAGCTTCTTTATCTTGATAAAAATCTGTAATAACAGAATCCTTATCAGTAGTGGTTTTAGTAAGATCTCTTCATTGTCTATAGCCTATAAATAGGCAGATTCATATTGGAAGTTTGGGACAAAGAAGAAAGAAATCATATTTAAGAAAATCGATGTCAGTTTAAGGCTGTGTAGCACCGACACCTCTGAGAAAAAGTGTGTTCATGTCCGTGTCAGGGTCGGAGACCTGCAACAACACTTGTGATTACGTTGATTTATTCATTTTGTTCAAATTATTACCGGTGTCACCATGTCAATGTCGGGATCATGTTCGAAGTGTCCGTGATTCATAGGTTTAAGGACTATTCCAGAGTAGTCATTCCCGGATAGCGGCGAGGAGCAGCCGACCCCAAAATTGCAATAGCAGGATAGATGGCGTATAGCGGGATACTGCTCTATTTGATCATTTTTTGGACAAATTACATATAATAATTATAAACATATATTTGAGGTAAAATTAAACAATTAACTCAAGTCATAAAGTATTCATAAACCAATGCACACATGACTCTTGAAGTGCATAAACAACTATGAAGGAAGGTTTAGTCTCGACTCAAATTTGATTGAAAACACAAAATTACCCTTAAAACATTGTAAATTTAAGAGGTAATTTTGGTTGTTTAGAGGAGAAAAAGGATAGTGGGCCAGAAACCCCTCCAGGCCATGAACCGCTCTGCTTTGCTATCCCACTATTTACCAGATAGTGGTGGTTGTAGTGTTCTGCACCGCTAAGGCTCTTCCCATAGCGGTCGGCCTCTGTTCCGCTCCGCTATAGCGGGATAGCGCTGCTATTAGCCGTTATTGACTACTTTGGATGATTCTGCTTCTTGCTTACACCATAGATCAAAAGATTCTACTGCATTCTAGACATATGACTCATGAGTTATGAATCTGTTCTATGCAAAGGCCACATAACTCTGTAGTTTTTGGCTTCTATCAGTATCTAGCTTCTTGCTTACACCATAGATCGAAAGATTCATTGTAGACTTATGACTCGTGTGGTATGACTCTGTTCCATGTGAAGGCCACATAACTGAGTACTTTTATTTTGTTTCTATCAATATCTTTTGCAGAATTTTCAATCAAAAGCTAGTGTCAATTTTTCGACTCTTTTGAATGCAACACATGTTATGCTTTGCTGAGGTTCATTCTGTTCTCATCCACCATTAACCAAAAATTGTTTACTGAAAGAAGTATGTGCACTAGCCCATGCAATAAAAAATTAATTAACCCGTATGCTTCAGTTTGATTCGTATTATTTAATTTACCTAAATAAATTATTGTGCTCGACATGGAATACCCAAAAAAAAAAGCATAGTAATAGGGATTAGGAAAGAGGAAACAGTACGGTTTAAGTATACTGTAAGCCCACTAGAAGACAGAATAAGCTAAAGACAGCCTCTCCTTAGAAAACACTATCGAAAATATTAAAAGGTGAGATTAAAAAATAAAACCTTAATAACGAACACAAAGGAAAGCTTTTAAGAATTTGTTGCGCAACAGAAACATTAGCAGCAAGCATAAACTCCTCCACCATTTGATTGGCTTCCCGGATTTGGTACATGCCTGTAAAAAAAAGTAAACAGTAGAACCAAATTCTTAAAAACAGAAAGCAGAAAAAAAAAACTGTATTTTTACCATTCCTTTAAAGGAGGAGCTAAATTTGCTCTCCTACAAAATACTCAATTTTACTAAACATTTTGAAGCAAAAGTAAATAAGTTACAGTTGAAGTTTTAGGAATCAGATGGTGAAGAAAAATGAAAAACATATTTCAATGAAGATGTGATATAAATAATTGTTAGACAGAACACCTATTGAAATGTTACGGATTAAATGGAAAAGGAAAATTAAATTTCAATAATGAAATGAGACAAATAACTGTTAAACAGAACACAGACTAAACCCCTACAGTCTAATCCAAAAGGAGGACATATTCATGGATAGAATATTAAGGTTTAAATGATGTCAGCAAACTTGTACTTCCTCCGTCACACACTATAAGTGCCCCCTTTGCAATATTTTCATGTCTCAAATCATTTGTCCCTTTAATATACGAGCGCATCATTTATTAATTTTTCACACTAGTATACCCTTATTTATTGTACTTCAATTCACATAAGTACTCCACTAATTACAATTAATAAGAGTATTTTAATAAATTAAATCTCTTTTATCATTGAAATCAACACAATTAATAATTATCTTGATTCTTAAGTATGCGCAACTCAAATGGGACGTCTAAAATGAGACGGACAATGTACATATTTCCACAATGATATATAGAATGTAGGAGTCATTTGTGGATTAGGTTTGACACATTTCACAAACAGAACAAGGAATCAATAGATGAAAGGTCCATTCATTCCCCTAGAGATTGTACTTTAATGGTGCCAGAAGAATTTCTTATTCAATAAGAATAACACACAACTTCCCATATTGTAAGGGCTCAAATAGAAATACTAATGAAAATAAGAGGTGAAGAGATTATACCAATATCAAGGGGATCATGAGTCTCTGTGTCAATTTGAAATTTGACTTCTGCAGATGCAAGAGTCAAAGCTCCTCTCTCAATACGCCTTAATCTCATTTTCTGATAGATCGCAAACAAATATAATTTCAGCCTTACTTACAATTTGGCTATACGTAAAACTATAACCCTGCATCCATAAATCCATACCTTGGCTAAACTATTCATATTTCTCAAGTCAGTAGTTACTGGATCCATCAATCGACTGCAAAGAAAAGCAAGATACAGTAACCAAATTATATATGGAACTAAAATTGCAGAACAAGGTAACAGACTACAAGATACAACTAATCATCATTGACAGGATGACTACCCCCGTGGACAAAATAAGAAACGGTCATTTGATTTTAGCATTGAAAAAGCATAAATCAACTATCAGTATCAATTATTAGTGTAGGAAAAGATTATATAATATATTGGAAAGTACTATCAGTATTTATTATTAGTGTAGGAAAAAATTCTATAATATATTGGAAAGTTAAGTTACAATTCAATATGTAGTTTGTTTAAATAGAGAAAGAATCTAGACCAATCGGGCTTTACTTAACAGGCCCTTATAATAAGATAAAAACTAATTAAAGAAAAAATAAAACAAACAAATAACAAAACTAACTTGATCTATTATTTACAACAATTAACATGAGCATGAATCCAGTCATTCAGCAGAAACGCCACAGGCTTTTTTTTTATAAATAAAAGTCAGAATAATACATTTCCTTTAACTAGTCCTGTTCATTTTTGCGAAAATCACTAAAGCCAGTGCAGAACTTTTTAAGCAATTATGGTATAAGTATAACACAATTACAGAATAGAATCATATCTTTAGTGTTTACTTTTTTCCTTCAGTATTATAGTTAATAATGCTATACTAAAGAAAAGTTGATCCACATCATCACAAAGAATCTAAGGACAAATAAAAGCATACCTATCATCCATCCTCGCTTGTGCTTCAACATAAGACAATGCTGCCGCAGATTTTATGACACTTTTTGTGTATCTGGTGGAAATAATGTCTGCTTCAGGTGTCATTTCCTGAACATACATAAATAATGCAAGTGCAAATCTGTGAGTGTGTACCCAAATACAAAACGCTGAAGTTGATATCATTTTGGAAAATATAAAGTCTGCCATAACATATGAACATTTTGATCAGTCATATTATTGAACACACGGAGGAGATATGGTGAATTTTCAAAAAATAACAAATAATCAACACACATAGAAGAGACCCCAGTAGTCTGCGGAAAGCACCTGGGAACCATGGCAGTATCATTACTACTAATCAGTCCACAAAAAATGAACATGAATCAACTTGATATAACATATACACGCTGTTGTATAGCCTTTTGCAACCACAAAAACTTCGAAGACAAACATTAACATGAAATGTAGCTGTCATCTTCAATAATTGGATACAAACTTTTTTTACAGAAATAACCTAGTGTATAACCAAATTGGTGGTTTTAAATTAGGTTGTCAAACCCGGATAGCTTCCCGCCCCAAAGCTGTGACAGCACAATAGCGCGCTGTGGAATGACTGCTATGTTATGGTACTCGCTTACCTAAACCATATGATCAACTTGGCCAAGAACTTATCTACACTTTGTGGGACTACTTTTTTGCTCAAAGGAACATATTCTGTCTGAACTTAGAGCTGTTATACTACCTAAGTTGGTATTCTCACTTGTTGTAAATGCATATGATATACACAGAACTGTGCAAAAGGCATCAGGAAAATGCTGTAAAATGGAGTTATTTCTACTCCTTATGCTAGTGCTGTTATCTTCTGCTAATGCTAAAACTTTTCAATTGAAAGCTTAGGCTATGTTTGTGATAAGTGTTGCATATTTTGAAGGTCTTACCTAAATAATAATTCATATCCAATAGTAACGCACGTGCATATACAAAATATATAAAAGTTTGACATTGTACATACCCATATGACAGAGAATGCTAGCCTTTCCACGTCAGAACGAAGAGAACATACGTCTGCCAGGTAAAAGTTTATCAATAAATGCATATAATAGCGCTATAACCACACATTCTCTCTATTTTGTTTTAAGCATGCAACGGAACATTTAGTCAAGACGTTAAATGATAATACCCTCTGTTAAAGGTTTTGGAAGCATGTCTATTCTTCGTTCAACAAGATAGACAGATGTGCCCCTTTGAGAAGCCTCATCATCGAGTGGAGTGCCAGGAAACACAAAATTCGTAACATCGGCAATATCTGATAGAAACTCATTAAAGAATAACTGCATAAGAGAGATGAAATAGCATAAAATGGGAAGGACACAAACAAAAAAGGTCCAAAAAACTACTGAAGCCTGACTGTTGAAGAGGGCCAAGTAACCCCCAGCAAAGGATGGATATTATCATATTATTTATCATTCAGACTTGCATGCGCTAAAGCGCATGATTTTATAACTCTGTACACATCAGCCAAGACTAGCAGATTCTTATTAAAAAAGAAACCCTTATAAATAACATCCGAATATAACATTTGATCCAGAAAAGCAGCAGCATACTTCATACACCAGTAAACAATTCAAGCATGTAAGAAAAAAGCATTTAGATTGATCATTTTTGGAAAGGACACTAAATACATCCATTCAGATATGCTAATTAAAATTTAAGCAATTGCATCAACATTTATGCCAAGCTAAAATAGCATCCACATGCACACAAGTGATGAAATGAAATTGTAACATCCATCCAGTAGTAGTAGTAGGGAAATGCTAATGAGTGCCCAAGGGCACTCTTTAAGGACTCCAAATAAAGAAATTATTCTTTGAAAAAGTTAAACATTTCAATTTCTAATGCACCAAAGACTCATCCATAAATGCTACTTTAAATATATAGTTTATTGATTTATTGATTTTATTTTAAATGGCGAAATAGCTTATTGATGCATGCATCATCGATAAAATAGATGTCCTTAGACTAAGGATACGAACTCCAACTTCAAAGTTTCCATTTGGAAGAGTATAGCAGTGAAGTGCGTCATCAATATCCTTGCAGCCTGCATCCAGAAGCCATAAAAGTACTTATATCATCGTTGAAACATGAAATATTTCATTTTCGATATTAGAATTACATTTGCATACTATACACTAGTATTTCACCATCAGCAGAAGAATAGAAATGGAAAGTTAAGAAAATGACTCGAACCTGGAGGGTCCACACTGAAGACACGCAAATGACGCAAATCCTGCCTAAATGGAATGGACAAATCTTCAGAAGAGACTGACCATGGCAATGGTGGCAAACACGCTAGCACTTGTGCAGAGAATGGCCTTGAGTTTATATCATTTTCTATCAAAACCACCTATATTAATAAGGAAAAACATGTTATGTTATAAAATTAATGTTGTTTAGTTGGTTGAAAAACATAAATAGTTGTGAAGACATGCATCAAATGCAAAATATGAAAATTTATTAATGCATATAGGAAACAAGGATGCAAGTATAGGTATCATCACAATATAACATTGGCAAGACAGACCAATATGACATGTAAGACTATTAAGAATTTGGGCATATAGAGATATAAAAATAACATAAACAAGATCTGCAACACATAAACAAATACATTTTTGTGCAGATTATCAATTCAATGTAGCCGGGTAAAGGCTTGCAATGGTTTGCCCTAGTGCATGATGATTACGTTAGTTTTCATATCTTACATTTAAAATCACATTGTTAAAAAGCCAGAAGAATACAATAAGGTTGAGGTTAAGAAGGAAAAAGAAATCACTTAGGTCAGATTATATGTATCATCTTTATAAAGAACATTATAGTATTCAACCATAAAAGTGCCAGATAATTATTATCTTCCAATTCCATACCTCACTTTCAGTATCTCTATCACCTATCTCTCCTATAGTCCGCACATAATGGCCAGATGGATATCGAGATTGACGATCCCAAGAATCAACTGATACCATAATCCTCTTGTCCAAAAGGTTCTCAAGTTGGCGGGTCTGGATACGAATCTTGGGAAATCTACGATCTTTGGAGACAAACAATGCATAGGCAACACCGCGACTTCCTCCAGGCATAGGCATTGGCTCCAAAGATCCACAATACCTTGAAAAGACAAATATTACATCAATCATGTCAAGAACTGATTGACAATAAAAACAACTGAAGTATGGAAGCTGTTACAAATTTATTAGAGAAAAGATGATATATGGATCTAATTTTTTGTATCTTCTCATACAGAATTGTATTCGCAATTGAAACCAAATACTGAAAATGCACAACAGTAACAATAGCATATATCACTTGATTACTGAATATAAAAGTGACAATAGTTTCTACAAATAAAATAAAAATAAAAAAAGCAATATCAGTTCCCAAATCAATTGAGTGTGATTTGTTAGTCATGCAAAAATGCTTCGAGTCATTAAAAGGATACTTACGAATGCCAGTTTCTCTTTATAATACCAACAATGCGACCAGAGGGACGACTGGATTGAGCATTTATTACTCCAGTAGAACCTTGCTGAGGAGTAGTTCTGGGAGCATCATCAGCACTATTTGGGGCTAGATGAACATCTTCATCCTCATCCTCGTCTTCTGCAAGCAAACAATATTACATTATGGGAAGTTTAAATAGAAAAAAATGCTCGCACTTCAAAGGACGTACTAAAACAAAAATAAGGCTGAACTATTTCAACCTCAAGAAGAAGCATGCTCATGTTAAATGCAATGTATAGAGTGAATAAAACAAAGCAGCATATTTCCTATTAGTGGTATGCTAGGTTAGCTAGTTAAAGAACTGTTATAACTGCCAAGACTGACAGGTGTCAGCTTGGAATGTATCTCACCTACTACAGCAGGTCAACTGGTTGCTACCTCACCTGCTACAGCAGGTCAACTGGTTGCTATCTCACCTGCAACCAGCTGCTCTCTCTTTGTAACTAACAAAAATTTGATCATCGTAAGTTAGTTATAACTGAAAATGTGAATACTTAGTTATTGAGGTTTATTCATCTTTGAATAATTTAAATATGTGAATACGAAGATGGAGCCTCTCTTTCCCTTGTATTTCTTCTTTCCCAAGATAGAGCATCTTCGTCCAAAATAATAATACAAGAAATATACAACTATAAGAGCAAATTTAATGTCCACATGGTTAAAAATTCATGAACTGAATCAAGAAATTGAGGACTACAAATTTCAAATAAATGTTTTCCTATTAGCATTGGTTAAGGAATCGATACATTGAAAGTTTTCATCACTGAATATCATGTTGTCAAGATTTCAATCTAGATTTTAAAATCTTGCGATTTTGCAACCTCACTCACCCCCAACAATCCCGATCTTAAGTAGAATTGCGCGTTGTAGCCAAATTATGAAAAAAAAAATTGTAAAACCATTGATTTTTTGCGATCTTGGCCAGTTCAGGCCACAATCATTCGCTTTCCAGCCACACTCGCCGTTTTCCGGCCACTACCATTACAAGCCGAGAAGGTTGACAAGATGCTGAAGCACAACAATTACGGTTCGGCGGAGGCATTTTCCCACGAATACACTTTCCTAGCAGAATATCATGTAACAAAACTTCAAATATACAGTATAACTTTTCGTTTTACTAATATCTTACGATTTTTGTTACTATCTTGCTACCCCCTCTCTCTATCTTTCAAAAATAATTGGGTAGGATCTTCCAATCTTAGTTTCGATCTTATGTTTTACAATTTTACTGTCCCCTCCTGATCTTATGCAATGGATTAACAATTGTGGAAGTTATAATTTCCAATAAATATTTCTATCTTGCGCACTTGTAAAGCATTTTTCATTTAATAATTAAATCAATAGTCTGGATTTATGACTAAAATTAAAAGCCCTACATTTTGGTGACCTGTGCCTATGTAGCTTTGCTTTCCAAGTGAAATTGGTTAATTAGCTTTTGAGATAACTTAAGAAAGAATAAATGCTAACAAGTTGCAATTCTTCCTTTTGACAGAGTACAGGTAGCTTAGTTAACATACCTTCGCCAACTATAGATAGAGATTTCTCCCCTTGCCATTGGTCCTCTGGCAAAAGTTCAACTGCCACAATATCACCATCGAAAGCTCGATTCATGTTAGAGCGCCCATATATAATTATTTCATCACCAATACTCTCACTCCCAACATATGCTTCAAATGGATTGTAACGGTTTACACGAAGTTTCCCTTGATGATATATTCCTCGATGCAAACCAGAAGTGATTTCTGACATTGGCTTATGCTGAAAATTAACATAATGTAAACGTTCCACATGCCAGTTTTAACCAAACCTTCATAGGGAGATTTCTAGATAGAGTAGAAACAATACCTCTGAATAAATTACTTTCCTCTTGGATGGTCTGTGATCTTCAACATCTTCCATCTCTACATCTTCAGATGAAGGCCGCACAAGCAGGTCGAGTAAATCAGGTCGGTCCAAAGACTTGACATATGACTCAACTGAAACAAAAGACAGATTGATTAACAAGCTTTGAGGTGAATCTTTTCAAATTAAAATATCTGTTAGTATTTAAATTTTTCATATACACAGGTGAAGTACATTGGTTTGCTATCTATTCAAGTATTCAACATACAATACAATCACCAAAAAAGTATAATTCAATCACCTGTTTCTGCACAAATGCCCTCTTCACTAGCTTTCCTTTTATTCTCTTTATCATTAGTTACAAGCAAAACCTTTACTGCACCACCTAGATGCTTCTGATACCACTGTGCAGCCACTCGAATAGCTGCATTACCACTCTTTAGAATTACAACTTATATAAGGATTATATCGGCAATTTAAAAACAAAACTATCCGAGTTAGCTAGAAAGCTTAGAATTAATAAATAATAAATCCAAAGCTGACAAGAAAAACAAACCTCTATCATTCCTGTCATTTTTTGTTTCCCCACTCATTTCCTTAACATATGTATCCCTGCCAATAGAGACATGAAATATCAAAATAGATACAGGGAGCGCACATGATGTCATACATAAGCAAAATATAATAGTAGCAGCATAGCGATGAAACATTTACATGAGCAAACAATGATCAACCCAACAAAAGGAACAAAACCCTGAAGCTACCCTCTTCACAAGATCTCTTGTGAAATGATGTCTTTCACTTGGACAATAGTAATTAATAGAATTTAGCCATGTTAAGATCCCACATCTTTCTAGAGATATGGCAAAGTAGTCCCATAATGTACTCCTCACCCTTGGGCTAGCATGGGGAGCCTATACAAGATTTGTTATTGGGTCATCCATTGTTATTGTGCCACAAGCATTTGTTCATGCTCCAAAAGTAAATCCTCAATGACACCGCCCACGCCAAAGACTGTATATGGACAAATGTAGGTTGCCCAATAACAACACCCCCCGCACATAGCAGTGCTATCAATTGTGAATGGCGGACTATGGAAGAAAACCAATGTACTCCATAAAATGCCATGCCATTGACATCCTTTAAAAATTGGCCATGGCAATTGTTAAAAAAAAAAATCCACAACTGCGTCGATAACATTGACACATACCACTGACATATTTAAAAAGGACTTTGAATTGAAAAATAAAACAAAGAGCAAAAAATCTATATTCATGAGGTCTTTTTGATGATTCGTGTTGGAGCAGAATGCTCCTATGCCTAAGGTTGTTACACTGTCCCTCGAAGTTGCACTGAACAATTATTTTTTAACATACAACAAAGAGAATGAGCAGCCTTGTCTCATTCTTAGTTTTTTGTTTAATTTCCTGCTTTCCTTGTATGTTGTTATTATCATCATAATATAATTTTTTCATAGCAACAAAGTAGTAAATCACAATGTAAAATAGAATTTAAAAGAAACTACCTGTGGTACTCATTGGAAAAAACAAAGAATTTCCTATTTGAATTGCTACATATAGCTCTTAACCGATTATAAACAGACATATTCTTGTTCTTAACCTCTTCCAGCACAATGGACAGTACAACAACATCGTCAATGGCTGAATTTTCCAGCAAATCAATCTATACAAAAATTCCAATTCACGATTAAAAAAACTCTACTTTCGCAGTACAGTAACAAACAATCTGAATCAACAACAAAGCAAACCTGATTAAGAACAACATTGGTGTCAACAACCAGAATTGTGGAAGCAGAATCACTAAGCCGAGCACCAGAAGAATCGCAGACAGTGCAAGACGGAGCACCACAATATATATCATCTCGCAAGTAGTGTTCCCTCACTTGCTGCAACCAGACATAAAAAAATAAATAATAATAAACACATAATTACTAGAGAAGTGTAAAGCAAGTTGAATAGAAAGGGGTTAGGGTTAGGGTTTTTAGAGGAAGAAGAAAGCACCTTCATGACTTTGCCACCTTTGGTTTTCTTAACGAAAGACTTGTTATGAAGCATTGTGGCGTTTCAACCTCAGTACAATTTGAGGCACTTCGGTGAGTTGAAATGAGTTTTCTTAATTGGAATTAACACTGTGTGTATAAGCTTTCTCTACTCTGCACTTTTGGTTTGTGATTAGTTTACACAAACCTTGAAATCGGAAGGAAAAATGTTACTCCAATGAATTTGATAACGAAGCAGGATAACTTGTTCGCATTCACCGTCGGCGGAATGGCGGCGCCGCGGCGGACTAGGAGAATGGTGACGGCACGAGCAGCTGGATAGTTGAACGTTGGTGACTCAGAAAGCTCAGAATGGGGGAGAAAACCGGGAATTTTATTATTAGGTTTGCCTCAATTCCAACTTTAGATTATTAATTATAAATAATTAATCAATCCACGTTATTTTATTAATACTAATACAAATTATTAATATTTTTTATTTAAATTATTTTAAAATATTAAATTAATCCCTTAAATTTTATTTTAACGTTTTGAATTTTAAAAAAAAAATCATTATAATAAATTAGAAATTCATATGTCATTTGAACTGATTTTTTGCGCTGATCATGAATATACAATCAAATTTATCAAATAAGTTACGGTTTATGAGAATCAGATAAAAATGGATGAAATATATAATAAAAAATCAATGATTCGACCAAAATACACAATCAAACACAAAACTAATTACATATTCGTGATCAGCGCGAAAAACCAGTTCAAATGGTATATGAATTTGTAATTTATTATAACGGATATTTTTAAAAAATTACCAAAGCATTACAAAAAAAACTCAAAAGACTAACTTCATATTTTAAAATAACTTAAAGGACCTAAACAGTGGTTTTATCTATTTTTTATCACACATTATTATTAATTAATTTTTAAAAATATATGAAAAACCTTCTACCAAAAAAATCTTGTGGATCATGAAGTTTATAAAAAGGATTATCCAACATATGATTACGATTTTTTTTCAGGAATATCAACTTTCAATTCTTTTATACTTAAGTTGTGTGAACAACTAAAACTAAGAAAATTTTAAATAAGAGGGGGATATGTTTTGAAGATCTAATTCATATTCAAGACGTGGAGTTGAAGTGTTTCGAGAATTTATTCTATAATAATATATTGAGTGTATTTGAATTTATTCTATAAGGATATCATGGAGTTGGTTCGATTTTTTACTATAAACGGGATTATGATAGTCTCAAAAAAGATGGATGCAGGTAGGGTTTTAGGTTCATATGGGTTTAACATTGGTTTCTATGCACATTAATGGACAGGCTAGGTGAGTTGCTCTTTAAAGTTTGGTGTAGTGTGTTAAAAAAATCTTTTATAGGTTATTTACACACCATGAGAAAATATTAAAATGTCTCAGATTTCGAATATGTATTTTCAAACGCATCAAATATACACACAATGTAGGTCATTCTGAGTGACGCCCTATTATTTGGTTTTTTTAATTTTGAAGATACATCTCTGGTATATGTTCGTAGATGCATTTTTGTAACGTATGCACAGCACTAGTAGAGGAAGAAACAAAAAACTTATAATTTAAAAAGAAAAAAGATTAACATTCACAGCATAAAATAAGCGTTACATAGATGATTTCAACATAAAGTGTAACATTACAGTTCAATATCTAGGTGGACGCTTCAACATCTTCGCAATATCTTCAACCGATCTTGAAATCATCACTTCCAATTCGAGCGAAACTTTTGTTTCAAAACAAAAATATGTATTCCGCACAGCCCTTACATTTACATCTGTCTTGAACTCAAAGTTGTTAAACTCAATATTCCTTCAGTTGTCAATCAACGGTGAATGGTACGCGAGCTTGACATTTTTCAATTGTCCACATAAGATATGAGATTATGGACTTCGTATTTCAGATCTGCAAGATAGGTGTACTCGGTGAGCTCAAACTTCTGCTCAGGTGTCGCGCTGGAGAAGAAGACATTTGTGACATATCAGGTGATGTTTATTTGTGACATTTTAGACAATTTTAGTTTATGTGAAATAAAAAATAAGAGCGCCTTACTTTATAGAAGTTGTAGGCAATGTGAACCATTCAAAATCTGGCATACTGACTCCAGAGATATATCTCTGGTTCCGCATACTATTATCTTGTCTCGAAGATACATATCTGAAATCTCTCCTGAACCAGACAAAAAACACAACCTTTGAAAACATAACTTATTTGAAGACTTTGTTTGACAATTGAACAAGTGTTATGGGAAAAAAAGTATCAAAATATTAAGAAAATGAATATATTACACTTCATTAATATTAAGATACAATTACATACACTTATTTGTCCAACTAAACAGAAAATTAAAACGAATAAAAACAATTTTCGCGGGCTAAATTTATGGGTGGCACCCCCTTTGACTTTTGGGCATTTGATTCTCTTTCAATATTGCTCAATTTCTCGAACTCTTGCATCATTTCTACAATATGGTCCACCCAAGTCTCGTTTGTTGTTAAAGGGGTTGTCCACTCTAGTGATGTAAGTGATATAGAATATCCTGGTTTCAAGTAAACTTAAACACAGTGTCGTGATTTTAAAAGTCATCTAATATACATAATACAATCATTTGGATTTTGAGATGGGGTTGTATGCAGTGGGAAAAAGGTTTTTGAAGAACTGTATCATTTTAGATAAACACACACTCTATCATACGTACATGTTATGACGCGACTCATTTCAGAGAAGCGCATCCATTTTGCCTCTGGTTCCGGTCCACTCAGGCAAGGAACAAGAGACTCAAAAACTTCATTGAAGCATTCTTTCTTTTTTGTACAGTCGTTTGTATGATTCTTTATGAGTCATTAAATCTTGGATAAGTTGATGGCAGACAAGTGTATAATTGTCTTATCTTTTACCGAGTAAAGCTAAAACAGCTTGATAACCGTAATTATCGTCCCCCTTAACATTGACGACCCGATCGATGTATTTGTGCATAAAAATCATCATCTCGTCAATGAATAGAATCTTTGGCGGAGGAGGTGGTTTGCTAATGCGAGCTCCTTTAACGACACTTTTTTGAGATTTTGAAGTTAGTGAGTCGGGAAAAACTTTGTCAACATTTCAAAATATGAAGGAGACTAAGTCGTCAAATTTTCATTCGGTGTAGGCTTTAGCATCTTCGAAGCACCTTTTTTTTCAACGGTTGAGAGGATGGTTTCAAGTCAGTGGTTTCGGGATAAGTAATCTTTCTCAATTGTTCTTTGATGTGGAGTTTCATGTTGTCATCGGCTTTCAAAAACCTCTCTTTCATCACTTCCCATTCGGTTAAAATATAGATATTTGACTTACCATCTTTCATGACACCATCATCACCAAACCTAAGCCTCTTTTAGTGAGTGCAACCCTCGTCCATTCTTATTGGGCTACCAGTTTTCACCTTTTTTGCAATAACATAATGTCATACCCCAAATTTTACCCTCAAATTCTTTGATATGTTGCGTATCATTCTAAATCAATCATATTGCATAATTAACCAAGTTTATGGACTCTTTTTTTTCTTTTGTGAACCAGGGATTGGCTTCAGAAGCTTCAAAGGTGATTGAATTAGGGTTGGACATGAGGTTTTTTGATAAGGTGGATTTCCTTTAGTCAGAAATTGTTTCTTTCGATTATTGTACTCAGGTTTGAGTTAGAAGTGTGGAGTTTTTTATTATTATAAGCAGTGTTTATCAAAGAATGTTAGATGTCAGACTTTGCTTTATTGCTCTATCAAATGTTGGCATCTTTCATTCTTTTTATAAGTGAATTGAATTGAATCATGTATGTTTTAGATGATATGCTTCATTGCTTGAAAATGCTTTGGTTGCTTTAATTTGTGTGCTATTATGCAGGAATTAGACACAAAATAAGAAGAGTAAGACACAAGAACTTTGACAAGGAAACCAAGTCAGCAACAAAACATCAACAAGTTCGCACAGAGAACTTCCTAGTGAATTTATCCAAAAAAAAGCATCCACAAGTTCGCACAAGGAACTTGCCAGCGAAGGCCCTTGGGAACCCGGTGAAGGTGTGAGAAAAACACAAGAAAGGGGGGGGTTGAATTGGGTTTTCACCTTAATAAACTTTTTCGCCTCTTCACTTATTGCTTTACGTGCTTCTATAAGATGCATTGCGGAAGCATAAATGATAAAGCATAATACAAGTAAAGAACACATGATATATCCTGGTTCACTTGAGCAACTTTCAAGCTAATCCAGTCCACCCTTCCAAGGTGATTTTGCCTCTCTCAATTGAGGTGTTAATCCACTATAACCAAACTGATTACAGATGCACAAGAAAACTGCTGGTGACTAACAATCAAACAATGACACGTTCAGTGATCCCTAAGGATATAACGTTCATTGACCTAACAGAATCTGATCCCTCAAGATCTCCTATTAGTATTTCAATCACAATGACAGTAGTCACTTGTCTTCTCAAGTATTCTGATCTTCACTTGATCACTTGAGGACCCATCAATTCTAAATTGAATTTGTGTTGCCGGAGATTACATGAGTGCTTCATATCAAGCAGATTACTCTTAATTAAAGTACATAGCAAGTATTGAGCAACAGCTCCTTGCTTTCTAATACAGAAACTATTTAAAGATTAATCTCAAAAAGATTATTAGAACATTAGTTTCCATATTGCTTAAAATCTTTCTTATGTGAGCACTGAGGCTTCTTAGCATAAAACTTTTCTTCTCTAATCCATGATGTTTGAGTTAACTGACTTAGCTTTGCTACAGCTTCCGATTCAGCATTTGCGTATTACATTCAAACATGTATGGTTTAGCTTTCTAGCTTATTGCATCATCTATGCATATTGGCTCAGCTGTCTTTATCGTTGACTAGCTAACATTTGAATGAATCAAATGATCTTCTTTTATAGTGTATCTAAAAGAGTCGTTGTGAGGGTAGAGATGTCCTTTCAAATTCCAACGGTCATTTCCCAACGGATAGAATAGGCACGTGTTGGATAGTACAATGACATCACTTTCTTTG